TCCTATCTAACTTAACAATACAATTATTACTTAATTATAATTTTTGAGTACTCTACCCACCTCTGTGTAATACTAAGATAAATATCAGTGATATTTACTGTAGTACATTCTGCTGAACTAGCAAAATTAGCTTAGCTAATGTGGCTTTTGTCTGCTAACTAAGACGGACATGTAACCTACATGTATGAAACTACACTTGCTCTGCCAGCCACCAGAATCTTGTTATTCACGTGAAAAGTCTGTATGTTCCTTACAAATGCATTTAAACGCTGATTGCCTATATGGCTTTCAGGCTGTGAAGCTCCTCTATTATGTACTCACTCTTCTTGTTCATTAGGCAGTGAACTTTACTGTAGTATGAGATCGAAGGCAGCTTGTCCACATCATCTGATATGTTTTCCTTCTCCATCTCAGCAGCCATTTTGTTCATGTATCTCATACACTGGTGAAGAGTTGAAATGGTGCAGATCTTCCAACTCGGACTTGTGGTATCTATCTATTGGTTGGGGGACTGACAAAAACTGGGGTTCGCCTAGAACACCATCTATCTAAGAATCACCATTGATTTGAACTGATTCTGATGCTTCTCACCAAAAGTTTGCATTTTTCAGAGAGTTCAGCTGAAAGCACAAACAGTATGTGTTGTGACTGCTGGCCTGTTTGCTTGGAGGCTTTATGTTTCATGGCCATGTTAGCTGAAGTTGGCTTTGATCCCAAAGACTTGGGGCTTCTCTGGTACACAGCATAACAAGTTAAACAACAAGTTCAATGTTAGACAGACATTTTAGTCCTGTGATGCATAATGATGTAATTATGTAAGCCTGAGTCAAAACGTTTTTCTTCTGTGTTTTATATAAGGACAGAGTATAGTAAGCAGAGTATAAGTGAATCAGTTAATCAAAGTTTTAGCACATTTCAGCAACAAGGCAGTTCAAAGTGCTTTACATCATAAAAATACAAAGTCATAGAAAACACAGTCAACATTTGAAACATTACCTTTTGCCAAATGCAAATCAAAATGATGGTAATGGTTTATTGATTATGGTCCAAAAACAATTCTAAACAGATGGGCTTTTAGTCTGGATTTGAAGGAACCAAATATTTTGGCTGTTTTGCAGTTTTCTGGAAGTTTGTTCCAGATTTGTGGTGCATAGAAGCTGAATGCTGTTTCTCCATGTTTGGTTCTGGTTCTTAGGATGCAGAGCAGAACCAGAACCAGAACCTGAGGGTTCTGGAAGGTTGAGACTACAGTTGCTGATCTTTAATGTGTTGTGGTGCTAAGCAGTTCAGTATTTTAAAGTCTGTTTTCTGAGCTACAGGGAGCCAGTGTAGGGACTGTAGAACTGGGTGATGTGCTCTGTCTTCCTGGTTTTAGTCAGAACACCTGCAGCAGCAGCGTTCTGGATCTGATTGATTTTTTTTAGGCAGACATGTGAAGACACTATGTCAATAATCAATGCAACTAAAGATAAACACATGGATGAGTTTCTCTAAATCTTTCTTGTTCATTAGTCCTTTAATCCTGGAAATGTTCTTCAGGTGACAGAAAGCCGACTTTGTAACTGTCTTTATGTGGCTATTAAGGTTCAGTTCAGAGTCCATCACTCCACCCAGATTTCAGGCCTGATCTCTAGTTTCCAGCTACAATAACTGAAGCTGTGCGTTGACTCTAGGTCATTCCTCTTTAGGTGAATCCGATTGCAGATTTTAGAGTTCATCAAAACAGCAGTAAAAATGCAGCATGAAGACAAACATCTCCTCTTGCTTCTTTGCGTCAAACATCACAAGGTAAAATGGGGATTGCAGCCCATCTGTTTTCAACAAATAGGAATCAGGCGTCCTTTAACCTGCAGGATCAGATAAACAGGTTGTATTGGGGCCAAACCGGTGAAAGGTGAGGAGGCGAAGCGTGATTGTTCAGAGGATGATCTCTGAACAATCGTGTGTGACACTTCCAGTGAAAACTGTTTTATGCCAGCGTAATGGACCTTTTGTGACTGCTGTTTGAATAGATACTAATCAGGAAATGTTCATTGGGTTATATCTCAACATTTGTTGGTCATCAGGAATTCAGCTTTTCTGTCTGTTTCCACATTTTGTGAGGCTAAATAAAACCTTCGTCTGGTAATAAAAGCAAAATATCTTCCAGCAACCTCATGTGCAGCCAAAACAACTTCTTATTCCTGCAGCTGGCGGCTCATCTGACCTTGTCAGCTGTTATGTTTAAAAAATAGTTTAGACTGAATGTTGGTCAAAACAGATCAAATGGATTATTCTATCAACTATCTTATTTAGATTTAATGAAGAAATGGTTGTTGCAACTCTTGTAAATATTGATTGAATCTGAACCTATCTGTCTTATACAATTAAATGACTGTAGTTCTGTAAAAGAGTATTTAACTCCTTATATGTTTCTTCTGTTTACCTGAGTGAACCTGAGTAAAAACAAAAAGCAGTAAAATGATTTAATATAATAAGAGGATTGAACTCCTCTCACTATCCTCTGCAGGGCCCTTCTGTCTGCTGTTCTGCACGCTGTAAAACATTTGAAGATGGTTTAACTTGAAAACAAAAGTCCACCTACTGCATCGAAGGTGCAATTTAAGTCAACAAAAAAAATTGTATTGGTTTTAACTCAGAAATTAAAGTTCATGAAGTTGATTTAACAACAAGAGACAAGTTGCATAAACATTGTTTTTTAAACTCATTAATCTTGAATTGCGAGTTTTAAACCAAATAATTATTTCACAATATGCAAGGAAAAAAAACTGCCTTCATCTAGTTAAAGAGCATATATTTCTGTATTATTTTCACTCACAACATCAAGTTAAAATAAATACATATTTTACTTAAGAATAATTTAAATTCTTGTTTCAAATCGCATAAACAAAGTTTATGGTCAGATTATGAATATTTATTCAACATCAGCATGAACTCTGCTCAAAAACATTTAATGTGAACAGGATCTTCAAGCTTTGCAAGCTGTCAGCTGCATTAAGAACATTTCTCTCAATAACACAAAAGTCATATCAATGTAATGCATTTCTGTCTCAGGATACAAAAACATGCTGCTTAGCACTCTAGGAAATAGTTTCTACAGCTGCCTTTTTCTTCTTTCAGTTTTTTTAAGTACTAACATAAAAACTCTTGTGGGTTTAACAAAATTAATAAAAAGTTAACACAACTTACTACTGTAAGTTTATCTTTCACAAACTCACACATTTAGGTTCAAAATCTAAAACTTTCTAAATTTATTTGACTTACATAGTAGGAGATTGTACTAAATGTAGCTCAAACGTTTTACAGTGCAGCTGCAGTACCACACTGAGGATGCTGGGAGAAATGGTAGTTTGAGCAGCTACTGCTGAGCCAGTTCCATTATTTCAGGGTTCTTTGACCAGATGAGGTCAGCAGAGACGCGTAATGCACCAAACTTCATGCCCACCTCTCAGTTGGCAGTGCTGAGGGTTGTGAGCTCAGACTGTGACTTTTAAGTTGATAATCATCTTCGTTTTGCAACAACTGTAATTTTTGACATTACAGTGGCTGATTGTTTGTAGCAGAAACATTTGGAAACTCAGTCAGCAAAAGAGATTATACTGGTTTTAGATCTTTTTTTTTTCATATTTTAAGGTAAAAATGATCTATTATCATAGACACAGAAAATCTGATTGCATTGCTGGATTTCATGTCATTATTATTTTAAATTATACTGTGGAAATATTTGAGTTTGTGTTACAAGGTTTTCAGCAAACTAACTAACTAAGATGATGCATCTATATGGTCGCACTTACTTTATGTTATAACTATGTTGTCTGATTGATGTTTTTCCACGCTTTAACTGTTGAGCATCCCAAAGAAACACTGTTTCTTTTTTGCATTTAGGAGCACAAAAAATGTCAATAAATGATTTGATTGGATTCAAATTGAGGAATCAGAGCTCCAGTCCGGTTTTCTGTAGCTCAACGCTGCCCTCTGTTGATCTGTTCCTACATCGTCTTTAAAGTTAGGAAACCTCCAAACAAAAACAACAAATAAAAAAAAACATCAAAAAATAAAAATAAAAAACACTGATTGAAAGGTAGAAAGTGTGAATTAAACAGCAAAACAAGGTGATTCAAAGAGCAGTTAGCTGAAAACTTGTCAGGAGATGATTATTTAAAATGTGAAAATTAATACCTGTTTTTCTGACATAAAATTATTTAAGATGCTCCTTTTGTTTTTGCACTAAATGTCTCAGTGGTAGTAACTAGTTATAAAAACAAGCGTTCGACTGAGAGACCCATAGAACAACAACCATACACGTTCACTCATACACAAGGACAATTTAGAGACAAATTAACCCAACAGTCATGTTTTTTTGGCATTGGGGGGAAGCTGCGATACCTGGAGAGATCCCACAAATGCTTTGGGGAAAACATACAAACTCCATACAGAAAGACCTCAGGAAATTCTTGTTGTAATGGAACAGTGCTAAATAAATAAAACAAAATCAAGAATTTTTAATGTTCCATTCAAAGTCCTGAACTGAATCTGATGATGATGCTGTATCCTGATAAGAAGGCAATTCATGCTCCAAATTTAATGACTACTTCCTGCTTCTGCTAGAGTAAAAATATATTAAAATAATGCTACTCTTACTTGAGTACAAATTTTGGCTGCTCTACAAACTCCATGCAGAATATATATAAAATCATGGATTTAATAAGTGTTTCTTAGTCCTATGAACATCTGGCCGCACAGCGGCGCTGTTTCACTTAAAATTTTACTTGCAACATGTCTCGTCAAGTTAGTGAAAGTAAACCGGAAAAGGGGACATTGCTATTTAAGCAAAAAAACAAAAAAAGTTAGCATTAAAAACATTTAAGCAAATAAAACTCAGTGATAAAGTTTAAATGTTACTTATCTCAGATGCAGAAACACATACGGTGTTTTGGTGTTTGGTTATGTTGAGAATGACCGAGTTATTTTAGATTTTGAGCCTTTATTCTGAAAGATGCCAAACGGAAGTTAGATAGCACCCGGTACCAGTTTAGTTGATGCTGCAGCTAACAGCAAAGTTGTCTTCGGAACCGCAAAGAAAGGCGGACTGGGTCTTCTTTTCTGACACTTTAATGTTGTGAACCTTCTGCTGGTGGGTTTCACAGAGGTCGAGATGAGTCTAGGTAGGTTTTCCCACCCCTAACCTTCACGAACGTTTCCTCCGCGTCCGTAAACCGTTACTAACAGTTTGACTTGATTTGTTTCCAGATTTGAGCGCTGAATCCCGTCTGAAGGAGAAGAAACAGCGGAGTTCGCCTGCAAAATCCCTTTAAAAGCGTCAGCGGTTTGTTTTTAGCTTCGTCTGTTTTTACCAGTGGTTCGGTTAGTCGTCGGTTTTAAGCGAGTTTACGTGGTGAAATCATGGCGTTCTTTGTGAAAAAGAAGAAATTCAAGTTTCAGACCCAGCTGACCCTCGAGGAGCTGACCGCTGTGCCTTTCGTCAACGGGGTTTTGTTCTGCAAACTGCGGCTGCTGGACGGAGACTTTGTCGCTACTTCTTCCAGGTACAAAAAACAGTCAGAAAAAAGTTGCAAAATTGCTTTTAAATGCTTAAATAATGGCGTTTAAAAGTCATGTTACACTTTCAGATCTAGGTTTATTGAATTTTTGGAGGAATTCTGGGAATTATACACACGTGCTTTGAGTTTTTTTTTTTTAAATGTCTGCCCCAATCAGTCTATTTAGTCTTTTTTGTTCTGGAAACTCTAAGAGTTCGCATATGGGCTGCTAGGCGAACTTAACCTTGCAATGACATTAAATTTAATTAAAAAATGCTTTATTTATGCTAAGCAAAAGTTAACTCAATCAAGTACCTTGGTGATTATCTCCTGTAGCAGTCTGTCAAGCAGTTAGTCTGAAGAGGCTTCTGACTAAAGATTGTTGCTGTATTCGAACAGATAAATATCTGGCAGCAGAGATATTTCAGAATAGAAATATCTTTTTTTGTCCTACATTGGGGGAATTCAGGTGTAACAGGAACAAAGTGAGAGAATCGAGGCATGTAGATTCACGAAAAGATGAAAGTATAAATATATATATGAAAAAACTAAGTTAAGAATAAGATACTGTACAAAAATACAACATAAAATACTGTACAGTTATCCAAAATGTGCACTTTGATCCAAATGAATGTGCAGCTGAGTAGGATTATAGTATAAAATGTAAAAAAAATAAAGTGTATTTACACATTAAAATCAATAGACTATCTAGAATAAGTAAAAATAAAACTGTGCAGTAATATTACAGAAGCATATTCTGGATCAATAACACGAGTTGTTAGCACAATTCTCAGTTCCTAGCTTCTTAGCACTGTTATGATGGTCTTGTCTATTAAATATTTTGCTGTTACTCCTAAGAAAATAATTAAAAACAAAAACACTGCAAACTTTGGCTCAACTAGTTATTAGGGTTAGTTGGTGATCACACTTTTAACACACTTTTCTTCGGTCTGATATTTACATTTGTTTGATCTGAAACAAAGAAATCACAAAGGGGAGAACACTTTTGTTCTCAATCTCTTGAGACTTCTTCACAAATTACATGTTGAGCCAAAAATGTAATTTGTTGCTGTTTGTAGCAGAGAATTATATCTTCTTTACCATCCTGTTCATTTTGTGGTGGCAAGATAAATATGGATCCTCATCCAGCCTTTTCCATCACAGCTCCAGGTTTTTTTTTAACTGCTGCTGTGATTGTGTGTATTTTTACGTTTACTCAAGTTGCTTTTTTTTCTTGTGGTCCTTTCCTGACTTGTAATCAGCAGAAGAAAGTCTTGAAAGACATGTTTTCTTGTTTTTCCCACTTTGAAGAGTGGCCAAAACAGGAAAATGTCATATTTAGTCATTTAAAAATTACTAGCCACTAATCAACTTGAAAAAGTAAAACGTACAAGTAAAAATGCCTTATAGGAATTATCAGTTTTGCCACAAAAAAACCCCACAATAAGTAATCAAACTTTTGAATCTTTTTACATTTTCAGTGAGATTATGACACTGCAATAGAAACTGAAGTTTATAGGGGTGACAATAAAGTGAGAACAGCTGCATTGTTTCTTATTAATATTATCCAAGAATACTGACACCGAGTTGTCATAAAAAAGGTTAAACATGCTGTAGGATTATCTGGTTTTAAGTTTTCTTCCTTCCTCAAAGCTCAGTTTGAGTTTTGTTTGCAGGTTGTTGAGTTTCTGCAGCTCAGGCTGTCTATCGGAGAACTTTTACCTCTTGAATCATGTTTAATCGCAGGGTGTAGCCATGTTAAGCCACCTCTCTGAGTCTCTGCGCTGGAACCTCTCATGATCTTCCAGACTAAACACAGCTAAACTCGGCTCATAAGATCTGTGTTTACAAGCTTTTAACCTCCACTGAGATTAGCCAGATTGGGAAGATGACTCTCAGCTGGCCCATTCAGATCTTCCTCTGATCAGTTCCCAACATCTGCAGCTTTAGCCTCTTTTCCTGCCCTCGTCTTTGATTCCCGGTATCGGATTTGTTGCCTGGAAATATGTTTGCTCTGCATCTTTTCACTGATAAAGTGACAGACTGATGCACTAGAGACTGTTTAATGTTTGCAGTCTGGCTCTTAAGGAAGCACAAGCACAGTTTTAAAATCCGTAAACCATTGTCCCAAACAATTTCAAGCTGCAGAGGTGTCAATTTCAAACTCATTTTTATTTTGGGCCCAGTCAGTAAAAATAAAAAGTGAAAACTGGATAAAACAGGAGGTCATGCCACTAATTTGGTAGTATTTTACATATTTAAAACAAAAACAAATCAATAATTAGTGTAGACAGTTACCGATATTGCTTATATCATGCTAAGTTTTTCAGCCATATTTTCCAGCCCTAAGGTAAACCAATAGAAAATGAATCAAATTTCAGATCTTCATGTGTTGGCTGGCTTCAGAGATTAAATCTGGCTTAAATATTTACCACCTGAAGCTGATCTGCAGTTTCATCAGCTCTTCGAATCACATCGCATCTTTTTCCACTCAACCAAACTGCGTCTGTGCACGTCATGTCAGAGGTCGTCCGCCTCTCTCCTGGTTATGCAACAGCTCTGATTTCCCTCCCTCCCTTCTCCGTTATCATCTGAAAACAAGGCGCTCTCAGAGGAGCGAGGGACGGCACAGAGAGGCTTGTACGCAGATTAGGGTTATGTCACCGATCTGACAAACGTGGTCTTTGTACGACGGCCCTTGTTCTTGCCGTGGGTCACGAATCGGGACCGGTGATCCATCGGGCTGTGAAAGAGGGTCACATGTTGGGAATGTGACTGACTGGTTCTTAGGGAAAGTTTTGTTTGGCTCCTCTGATCTCAGCCATCAGTGTCACTCACTTCAGATAACGCAGCTGCTGTAGGAAAACACTCCAGATAATCCAACCGCACTCTTCCTCATTGGTTCTTAATACTTGTATCTTTGTCGGAGCACTGAGGAAATGAGCAATAAGTCGGTCGGTGTAAAGAATCTGTGTATCTCCTGTTGTATCCGTGGATGATACATAAAGGAGTAATAATCTGATTTTGGTTTTCACCTTAAGAGATCGGAGCAGGAAAATGCTTCTGAAAATTTGTTTCCCTTGATGGAGCAGTTTTCAAAGTTTGGTCTGTATTCCTGAAACATTGTTTTACCTCTGTAACAGTTGGACATGAAACACAGAAATAAATCAATCTGGTTTTTGGACAATATGGCTGAAAAACATATCACAATATAAGCCTTTCATATCAGTCAATATCAATAATTGATTAGCTTTTTCTTTTGTATGTCTGAAACACCACCAAACAACCTTTTCTTTGCTCCATGCCGTTTCTTTTTTTTATTTTTAAGCATTTATGAGGCACAGAGGCAAAACCTTAAACTGCTGCTGCACCCGTTACTCAAGAGGTTGTTGCTAGGTAACCAAAGAGCGAGTGAGTGAGTTGCTAGGTAACCAAAGAGTGAGTTAGTGAGTCGATTCCACCAACCTAGCTTAGCTGGTAGTTAGAGGTTGAGCAGCTAAAGCCTTACCTCTGCCTACATCTCCCAGAATGCTGTGGGGTTCCATTGTGGCAGGAAGGATCTCTGTCTCTTGACTGCCATGACATGCTAACATGTCAATTTCTGAGCACTGGAGACGATATGTCACAGCAACATGTCCTGGATGACACCATCAGTTGTTGACAAGCACTGCTAATCCACATCGTTTGCTTTTGGTGCTCTTCTTTAAATCTGCCTGGTCGTATGGGTAGAAAACCGACGCCTTTGTTGCGTTCAGATTTCATCTTTTTATAGACTTGTTCATGAGGCATTGCTTTTTAGGTCAATTATTCCCTCTGGTTTTGGATGTTGTGCAGCTGTAAGGAGTTTTGCTCTTTTATTTATTTTTTTTAACTTTCAGATGGTAACCATGGCAACCAGGGTTTCTTTTACACCTGGTTGCAGCTGATTAGCATCTCATAAGCTCAGATAATGCCACTAAAAAGCAGAGAAAGGAGGAGGAAGTTCAAATCAACTCTTCCATCCATCACAATCTACAACGACTCTGAAGATATCTGGATGATATTAGTTATGACAATGTTTAATTTCTCTTTGGAATAAATGAAGTATTTGGTAATTAAATTTAATTAACATGTGCTGATCGTATTAAGCTTAGCTTGCTCCAGGTTCACTGGGTAAGCAAAATGTCACTTTGTTCCCAGATTTAATTAGATTTTTTTTATTTCATTCACTCATTAATAAATATGAACAGTTTATGTAACTACTAAAAGAAACTGAAATAAAAGGAGCAGAAAGAAGTCTAAGCTTATATCTGCCCCTTAACATAAAATTAACCAATCAACTCAGACCATTAGAAACACATTTCAAATACACAACAAAACATCAGCTCATTTAACAAAACATTGCTTCATCATAATAATTTTCAAATTTCTTTTAAAAGCAGAGATTTAGGACATTTTATCTCACTTTCAAGATTGTTCCACAAACCGACACCTTTAATTTAAAGGCATCTTTCCATTATTGTGTTGTGAATCCACAACACAATAATGGGGGGGGAGAAACTTTGTCCAAGATTTTCATTTTGTCGTATTGAATGTTGACGTCTCTGCTCCATATTCTTAACCGAACCCTCTTCCATCTTTTTGGTCTGTTGAGTTTGTAGAATTTTAAAGTAGATTTTACTCCACATGGAAAACATTTTAAAACTGAAGTTATCAGACATTTATCAACACAGGAAGGAGCCCGTTGCATCCAATCGGCCACGTTCCCCAGCTGAAAATGTGTTTTCATTCTGTGCAGCTTTAGAAACAGATGGCCTCCATCTTGATTTGGCAGAAATCGGGCTCTGCTGCGACGGCGTCTTTCCATTATCAGCACTGCCTTTCTATTTGTCACACATTGAATGTTTACATTTCGAACATTTTATAGTTTGGCTTTTTATTCTTGTTCATTCTGACATCTCAACACTGAAAAGTTTTGTGCAGGGCAGCTTGGCTGTGGGAGATATTTTTCTCTGGATCGGGGTTTA